ATTTCTTTTGTATTTGTATATATTATCTGTCTTATTATTCATTTTATTGTTTATTTATAAAATGTATATCTATACTTATAAATATTTATATAAACATTTATTTATATATACTTGTAAATATGTATATAAATAATTATATTTTATATAGTATAATCTATATTTTGTCTATTTTAATTTTCTATTAGGTACCTAGGAATGGAAGAGACAGCTTGCTGTCATGCAGTGTGCTGCATTTATCATCAGGCAGACCCGAGTTTAAATCCTGCCTCAGGCATTTGTCTAGCTGTGTGATGCTGGGCAAGTCACAGCCTCTCTGATCTTCAGAATCTCCAAGACCAGGGGTAGGGAACACAATTTTTGTGTGGAATTTGGGTTCAGTCAAAGGGCCTAACTTGAGGACCTAGAAGGCCACATGTGGCCTGAAGTCGCAGGTTCCCCACCCCTGCTTTAAGACTATATAGACAGAGGGGCAGCTAGGTGGCATAGTGAACAGAGCACCAGCTCTGGAGTCAGAAGGACCTGAATTCAAATCTACTCTCAGACATGTAACACTCACTAGCTGAGTGACTCTGGGCAAGTCACTTAATCCCAATTGCCTCACCAAAAAACAAAGACTGTATAGACAGGTACTACTGTGGAATTCATAGTTCCTCAAAATATTGGCCCAATAATCCTCCTTTGAAAAACCCAATCTTTTTCTCAGCTTAAAAAAGAGAAGAGGAGCTTTGTTTTCACTTTGACCAGGAAAGGAAAAGCAGCACCTGAGACACCAAGAAATGACTAGTAGCTGCTAAAGGTAAGAGGAGCTGCTGTACCAGAGGTTCTCTGCTGTGCTGGGGGCTCCGCTGTGCTGAGAGAGGGTGAGACCTCAGGTGGGATGAGCTGGGCTTCAGATATAAGATCTGTTTCCCTTCCTCCCCTCATTCTAGGGGGTATTTCCTTATGAGACCTATGCCAGGCCCAGAACAGATATAGGAAATGAGAAAGGAGGCTTTCAGAATATTACATTAGGGAAGCTGGGAAGAGTGGGCTGGAGTAATTAGTTATCCCTTCCACATCTCAACTTTCCCCATTGCAGTTTTGATACATCTTGGGCTGGCATCAGAAATTAAATGGGAATTTATAGGAGCTTTTCATAAGCTGCAGATGAATTGTGAAGGCCAGCAGATGACAGAAAAAGTTTAGAAACTCAGAAATGCATAAAATATATATATAGTATTATATATCAACCCAAATTTTATAATAAGGTACTGTAAACACCCCATAAAAGAAAAAGAAAAAAATTCAGATTTCTCTGTAGGAAGGGAGGGCCAAAAGATTTTCTGCAGATTTTCAGGGCACTGCACCCTAACCCCTCGATGTGGAAAGGATAACTGTAATTCGCTATTTGATACCAGATTTCAGAGGGTTCTTCTCTCCATTGTCCCCTATCACTCCAGCATATTTACCAGGTGTGCTGCTGGATAGAGACATCAGACTAACATATCGAACTGAAAGTAGGGTTCTGGTGGAAGAGCCATGATGTGAGGGGAGGAGATGTGTAGCGAAATCCTCTATCAGGCATGCAGGCAGTCAGGTTGGACTTTCTTCCCAGTAGATCAGGGGTAGGGTGAAGGGTCAGGAAGTAATGCCACTTGACCCAGACCAAAGGCACAGTGCTCCCTGAGAAAGGAAAGATTGCTAGGTGCCAGTCTGCTCTACTAAATAGCCACTGAGCACATGGACAATAGCAGTTAGTTGTTATTTACATGTGATTCAATTCAATTGACATTCATTAATCCTTCCCTGCCCCTCCATGAGTAAGGCCTGGAGTTAGACTAGGGACCTGCCCTCTAGAGTCCTCAGTCCAATATGTCCTTTCATCCTGGAGTCCCTTTAAAATTTACCTGGCGAATCTCATCTATCCTCTCTCTGCTCAGATGCTCTCTGGGATGGGATGTCTCGATCTTCCCCGAAGCAACCAGTTCCATCTTTGAACAGTTTTAGTTGTTAATTCCTCCCTCTCATCGTCCTCCCCACCCCCGTCCCTCGCCACCCAGCCCACCCCCAGATCCTTCTATGACATGGTTTACTGCCTGCCTCAACCCTCACTCCCATTCTTATTATCCTTCTCTGGACATACTGGAGTTTGCCTTCAATACCTCAGCCTGACCAGGTATACGGAACTGAACGTAATACACAGATAGAGGTTGAACAGGGTTGAGGACAATGGTACCAGCAACCTCCTTGGGCTAAATAAGAGTTGTATTGATGCAGTCTAATGTGGATCTTAGAGCAGCTAGGTGGCGCCATAGAGCATAGAGTGCCTGGACTCATCTTCGAGAGTTCAAATCTGGTCTCAGCCACTAGCTACGTGACTCTGGGCAAGTCACTTCACCCTGTATGCCTCAGTTTCCTCATCTGTAAAATGAGCTGGAGAAGGAATTGGCAAACCACTCCAGTATCTCTGCCAAGAAAACCTCAAATGGGGTTAGGGAGAGTAGGAGATGAGGGAAACAAGTGAACAATGATGTGAATGTACTGGACAGAGGCAGGTGGATAAGGGACCAGTCTGGGAGTCATAAAGGTCTTGGATTCAGAATACTTGACGTGCTGAGTTTCACTGGTGAAGGGAATTTCCACACTTAGAGTGCCCTACATCCATGAACATCAGTGTTCGGGGGGAGATACGCCCTTGAGCGTATCTCTACCTCCAGGACTTTTTGTTTTTAACACGGAGTGCTGGAAAGTTGGAGTCTGTGCCTTTGTTTATACAATCCTTCCACTTCACAAATGAGGCTCAGTGATAAAACGGGGGGGGGGGGGGGGGGAAGAAACCAAGAATCCTAGCTTCCATCTCGCCATGGAAAAGAGAATGCCTGACTGACTCAAAAGGGTCATGTCCCTCCCTGGCGAAGGAAGGGCTTAAACACGCTACACCCCTCCCCCCCCACCGTGAAATCCAGTCAAATCAGGTGAAATAGAACACAAAAGCCCAGCAGGGGCTGTGGAAGGGGGTGGAGGGGGCCTCTCCTCAGCTTTGCTGTGGCTGATGAGGGGAAGATGTAGTGACAGCATCTATAGATGAACTTCTGTCTTCCCCCCTACACACACACCCACAGACTATGTGGAGTCACCCAAAGCATCCTCCCACTCCCAGCTATGGTCGCTGGGACTTCTGCCAACATTCAGCAGTCTTACTTACAAAGAAACACCTGGGGGTCCAGGGAGCTTGGAAGGCTCAGGAATCCATCCAAGCCAGCTTTATTTGTAGTGTCCAGCTCTTAGCACAGTGCCTGACACACAGTAGGCCAGTCATCATCGTCATCATCATCATCGTCATCGACGGTAATAATCGACTGACCTGCTTTAGCCTGCCCCATACTTCTCCAGCATTTGTACTTTGGAGTTTTGTCTGGAGTGAATTGGTGTGTGTGTGTGATGTATTATTTAGCACAGAGGAATAGCTGAGAAAGGGGGAGACACAGAAGTGAGGGTGGCAGGTGGGAAGGCGAAGGAAGAGAGGGGGAATGAGAGCGTAGCTTGGGCTGACTTATGTACCTATGCATCAGTTCCAGTACCTGGGTAAGGCTTGGTGGTGGCGCTGCTGATTGGGGGGAGGAGAAGTCACCGGAGTGTCCAATATACGACAGCCCCAGAACTCTCCAAATCCAAGCTACCGTGGTTGTACGCTTTGGCGTACATCCCTCAGCCACCCCAGCCAGTGTCTGAAAGTAAAGAATACCCCGGGTTTGCTTTCTCTTTCTAGGTTTTCCACGGGAGTCTCCTTTCTAGCTTTGCTAAGAGTAAGTAGCCCAGAAAGGTGGGACAGCCCGCCAAGGTAGCCAAGGAGGCTTTGAGGAGGGTCAGCGCTCTAGGAAGATGGTGTTGGAGAGGAGATGGGAGGGGAGAGAGAGGGGAGCCTTCTGTTCTCGGGGCTCGGACCTGCTCTTCCTCCCTCCCTCCCAGAGCCCTGGTTCCCTAGCTCCCTCGTTGCTTTCCTAGCTCGCTCCCTCACCGCCTGCAGACGCCTCCCCAGCCAGGCAGCCCAGCGCGTGGGAGGTGACATCTCTTAGGGAGCGCGATTGGTTTAATATGGTAATGGAGAGGAGGGACCAGCCCTGGCCGCTGGCTGGTGGCTTAGCTCCGTCACGCAGGGCGCTGAGCTCAGACGACTCAGTTTCTTCTGCCCCGGCTCCTCTGGTCCCGGCCCTGGCCGTAGAGCCAGTCCCGCCATGTGAGGCAGCCCCTCGCCTGTGCCTGTGCCTGTGCCCGGTCTCCGCCCTTGCGGCCCGGTGTGCCGCCCGCCGTAAGCCCCATGCAGCCTCTGCTCGGCCCCGCCGACGACCATGCCCTAGCGGGGTAAGGCACAGCTTTATCCGCCGCTTCTCCTTCCTTGCCTAGCTGGTCACTGACTTTGCACCTCCCCCCCTCCCCTCCTCCTCCTCTTCGTCCTCCTCCGCCTGGACAGCTGCTTCTCCCGACTCCGAGCTGTCTGCGTGCGGCAGGAACTCCTGCGGAAAGTACCCGGCGCTCCGGGGGAGGGGGGGAGAAGGGGATCTGGGGGTTTGGCTGCGTCTCTGCAGAGTTCTCTGCTCTCTGCCTCTACTGCTGGGGGTGGAGGGGGATGCGGCTGTGAGCTGACCGCTGGGAAGAGGAGTTCCGGACCTTCTCTCTCCCTCCCCCACAATCTATCTCTAAGGGTCTCAGTCTCTTAAAAACCTTTCTGTGTCAATGGTCTCTTGCTGAGTCTCTCTAGATGTAGCACACTCTGGTGTTTGCTCTTTGTGCTTTCTCGTTTCTCTTTCTGTCTCTCCCGTCTCTTGTCTCTTTCTTGTTTTATCTCTGTAAGCGAGTCTCTCTCTCTCTCTCTCCCTCTCTCTCTCTCCCTCTCTCTCTCTCTCTCTCTCTCTCTCTCTCTCTGTACCACTCTCTCTTTGTCTCTCTGTTTGAGTCACTGTTTCTATCTCTCTGTCTCCCCCTGTCTGTCTCTATCCGTCCTCCCTCCCTCCTCTTTTGCCTCTGAACCTCAGTTTCCTCATCCATCAAATGAGGGGGCTGGACTAGGAGCTCTAGGGTCCCTTGCAGTTCTACCTCTTGTGCCATATAGTCAGGACGTGACCGAGGGGTCTGGTTCCAGCTCTGCCACTGACTAGCTGGGTGACTTCCGGACAATTTCGTCCCCTCTCTCCACCTGAGCATCCTCGTCTGTTAAATAAGGGCTTGGACGAGAAGCGCTCTAAGGTCCCTTGCAGTTGCAAACCCTGCTGAGAAAGAAGTTGTGAGGGCGGGATACTTCCCTTCCTTCATTCTTTGTCTCCTCCCAGTGTCGCCAGTAGCTCATGGTTGGTGTAGCTGAGTGAGTCTCTGCTGCCTACAGAATTGTCCGGACCCTAGAGTCACGCAATCTCTGGGTGGGTGATTTGGGGATAGTCAGGCCAGGGATGCAGGAAGATGGGCCCGATGACCCAAGAAGATTCGACCCAGCCCTGGATCCTATGATTCCCCCGGAGCCTTGCCGACCCGGGGTTCCACGGTAAGTACCCCGGGATGGAGGCGCGGGAGAGCCAGGAGCACAGGGGATCTGGGACCACTCCGATAGGCAGGCAGGAAGGCTTACAGACGTGCGGGCCTGGAGCTCTGATAGCTGGGGACGCCGAGCGGACGGTCTGGGGTGGTGGGGGGGGTGGTGTAACTCTGCTGGAAGCAGATACAGGCGCGCAGCAGCCACTGGGAGCCTGCGGGGGGGGCGTCTGGGTTGCCCTGGGCTCCCGGGTGGGGGCAGGCGGGAAGGGACACTTCTGGGAGGCTTAGGACCCGAGGAAGCTCGGCCTTGCTTCAGCTGCTGGGTCCTGTGGTCTGCATCTCTTCGGAGCTCCGGGAATCCCTCTGTCCGTTGTAGCCTTGGAGTAATTGCGCAGGCAGCTTTTTGGCTGACGGGAATAACCCGAGGAGGGAGGCGTGCTTTGGTGTGTGCGCCAAGGAGCCGGGAAAGAGAGAGGGGGGCAGAGAAAAGAGACGAAAGCAGCGGACTTGGCCAAGTGCCCCTTAGCGAAGAAATGCCATCGAGTTCTCTGTCCATCTGACATCCTGCTTCCTAGCCCAAAAGCCGGGGCCCAGAGCTCCAAAGCCACGTTCCGCTTTCCCAAAGCAAACTTTTCCCATTTCTTCTGACCTTCTACGGTCTTCCCTTTCCTTCCATGAGGGTCCCGAGGAAGCAATCGACCCCGAGAGTGGGAGCCTTTCCCGCTGCCAGGCCCTGAAAATTAGGGGACCATCACCAAGGGCTGACTCCCCACCTCCCACGGGACACTCCATCCAAGGAGTGGGGGGAGGGGGGGAGGAAGAGGGAGAATGCTTCAGATGACACACAGTAGCTCAACTTGGGAGGCCACGAACTTGACCATTTTCTGCTTCTCGGATCAGGGGAGAGCCCTTGCGGCACTGGGAGGGGGGGCTCCTTTGTTGTGGCATGGACCCCTTGGGAAGTCTGGGGAAGCCTAAGGACCCCTATTCAGAATAATATTTTTAAATGTATAAAAACAAGCTATATAGTATAGTTATTATATATGTTATCTATATCTATACTGTAATTATATTGAATAGTTACTAAAATATTTTTTTAAAATTGTTCATGGACACCAAGTTAAGAACTTCTGGAATGGTTCATGGTAGAGACTGTTGGCTCCCTTCTCTGGGTAGCAGAGAAATGTCTGTTACAGGATAAGACCAGGCCTGCCTAGGGCCCCTGAAAGTGTAGGAAAAAGTAAGTGTTTAATAAATGCTTGTTGACTGACTGACTGACTCAACTCTGGGGAGGAGGAGCATGGCATCTGCCCAGGGAACCCCAAGAGTAGAAGATTTATGAGCCAGCAATGAGGCAACTTCCCCTCATCCCTTCCTCTTACCTCAATCCAACCCAACTGAATCCAATTCAAAATTTACTAACAGCTAAACACTATGTTAGGTTCTGGGGGATACAACTCCCCCCCACCCCAAAAAAGCCTTGGCCCCAGAGAGCTTACATCTTGCTAGGGAAAACACAGATACAGAAAGACAAATACAAAACATATGCAAACTCATTGCAATGTAGTTAGGGGAGAGACCATTAGCCATCAGGTAAATCAGGAAAGCTTTCTAGTTGGAGGTGTCACTTAAGTTGAGCCCGGAAGGGGCCTGACCTTAGATCCTCAGCACTTTCTTCCTGGATTTGGGAACAATGGCTCTGAGTCCCTAGAATCTTGGTAGTTAATGCCCAAATGTCCAGGAATCTCACAAAGCTGTCAGAGCTGAGATTTAATCCCTTGTCTTCCCGACTCCAAGTCTAGCATGACTTCTACCCTACCATGTTGTCTACAGCTGGTTATCAAGGTCCAGAGGCAACCTCTTCCTGGGACATTTACCCTCAGCTCCCCACAGTGGCTTAGACATCCTCTGGCTTTTGACTGGTTACATGTCCATTGAACTAGAAACACTCCTCTAAGAAAATGGCATTCCTGATTCAATTTTGGAAAATGAAGAAACTGAGGCAAGGAAACAGATTGACCTGGCTATAAAGGGACTCAGGGTATCACTTCAGGAACGAGAACTCAAAAATGACAGTCTCAGGACTAGCACTGTGGCCAAAATTTGCTGGAGAAAGGGCATTCACTGTACTTGGAATCCAAAGACCTGAGTTGGGATATGACTCTACTACGTACTGCTTGTGTGACCTGGGACAAGACTATCTTGTCTGGGTTCCCATTTTCTCATTATTCTTAACTGGTTAAAGTGGGTATGGGCCTACTCTGTCCTCCCCACCACTCCTTCACTCCTCTCTCTGCCCCTGTGCCTATCTATCTATCTATCTACCTATCTATGTCACTTTCTCTTTCTCATTGTCTAAATGTCCTAAGATGCTCCTGGATGCTTCTCTCCACCCCCCTCCTCTCCCCTCACAGTCCCAGGTGAGAGATGAACTTGGAAATGCTACTGTTCCTTCCCTAAAACAAGGCAGCTCCACTCTGATGGCACCAGCCGCCCCCTAGGGGCTCAAGACTGGAATGGTCTGATTTGGGGACTTGGCTTGGTGGTTGGGAGATACTCCATTGAAAAGCCAGAAGAATTTTCAATCAGATTTGGTCCTCTTGACTCTGAAAGGAGGTTGAGGGAGTATGTGTGTTGTTGGGGTGGGAAGGTAGCCTCTCCTGAAATGCTCTTGGTCAACCCAATCCCTAACAGTCTCATGGGAAGGGCTGTGTGTTTAAGCTCTCTCTCTCTCTCTCTCTCTCTCTCTCTCTCTCTCTCTCTCTCTCCCTCCCTCTCTC